CAGGGTTTCGTCGACAGCTATCAAATTATCTTCTTTAATGCCTGGAAATATCTTGCACGGTTGCTTTGAGGTGGAATTGACATAAAACTCAAGGCATGAATTTTCTTTGTTCCAAAGAAAAAGAAAAAGAGCTCGACTCTTAAGCTGGAAAGTATGTCTATTGTATTATCATTGTACCATTAAACTATTATCTATTGAATTAGATATTAAACAATGGATTTTTTTACAGTACCTTAGTATCATATGAGCTGGGTCAATATTAAGGTTCATTCTTTTCTTCTGGGTCAGGTTTGGAACATAATATGGATCCCTTGATACACTTTCGGCTTCAGTAGCATCCATATGTGTTTCGTAAATTCCAATTTCAACTGGAGAAGTTATTTGACGCGTACGTGTATATTTTATAGTATATGATTTCCTTCCTACATATGAAACTTAGTAAACAAAGTGTAAGTAATTTGTGATGAAAAGATAATGGCAAATTCTAGTACATTATGAATCTTACATTTTTCGTGAAACTCCTCGATTACTAACGAGTCGTTGCTGCAAATTTATACGAAATTACTTTCGGTGCCATATGTATCACAGTATAGTATATAAAATATGTACAATGCACTTTACCTATTAGAGCTATATGTTTGCTGAATTTTGTCTTGTATTTTTTTAATGTAATTCACTTCGATTTCCTTTTCCTTGTTAACAAACTCCATTTGGATAGTCTCCAATAAATTTTTACTTTTCCGAGAGTTTTTTATATGGTCATGTAACGAACAATTATCGCACAATTTGTCTCTCCAAGTAGTGTACTCATTGATGAACAAGGAAATTATATTGTTTTTTGTTTCGGAATTGTTACCCGTATTAAAAAATTCTTGGACAAATTGTTGATCTGTAATGACTGGGATTTTCTTTAATGCTTCTTCGTAATCTGAATCGAGTATGTCGCTATTGATATATCTTTTTGCGTATTTCTTTATAATCTGCCCAATCGATCCTTTTTTAAAATCTTTCAAATAGTTGTAAGTAAAAATTTCATCATCATCAACAATTGATTTGTGATTTTTGATAAGAGATTGACTAACTAAGTAACGCTCTTTGAGAAGCTTCCAATTTTCTGTATTTACGACGTCCAGTCGTAGATTAGAAATTACATCGTGATAACTATTATCAATTCTGGCAACATCTATACAAAAATCAATGATGGGGTTTAGTACTGCTCAATACTGTATTATCATGTATATCTCTAAATTCGCACCTTCTTGATTAGGTTCATCCTCTGATGTTTTTTCGAGTAACCTAATATAATAGCATTTATTAGAAGTTATAGAGAACATTAAAACGTTTAATACACACCTATACATGTTTTTTAGCCGATATCTAAGAAAAGAGGAAAGAATATTGGAATCTACTGCAAGAATATTCTCATATTTTTGCCTTTCTTCCTCTGTATCTTTACGAGTCGCGTTTATTTCGCGATTATATGATTTAACCAATTCGCTTCCTACAGACAAAACCTGTGCTAAATTTATTAAAGTTTTAAAGCTAATAGAAGGGCTGACTCTTAAATTAGAATCTTTAAATGCATTGAGAACTTGATCAGAGCTCTTATCTATTAAGTTATGTTCTTTAGTCGATTCATAGGGTTCAACCGTACGACAAATAATGAACGATTGATTGTAGCATGATTCTATTGGCATAACAGGAGGGTATGAATCCAGAGTCAATTTTTCTTTAGAATTTCTATCCTTAATATTAAGCTTTATAAAAAAAAATATTTAATATCATTGTTTCACAGATAATATTGCATTATTTCAAAAATTTAAATTCTTACTTTGAATCCTGCATGAACGATGAAGTCTTCTTTGTCCTGGATTTTTTCTTCGACCTCATATTCGTCCATAATTGAGTTGTCATCATCAGCATCCTTACACTCGTCAAAAAAATTGAAATTGAAATTCATCAGATCTTGTGCATCCATTAAGCAAAATGTAGCGTCTGATAGTTTTGTGAGGTATCTATAATTAAGCAATGACTTATTATAAGTTTATAAAATGTATAATAACTTAATTTCATCAAACTTTTGGCCGACCGGTGAAGAGTCACAAGATTACTCTTTTCTTCAGATGAGATATTATTATCATAGCAATCCTTTTTGGGCCAATGGATAATAAAACCGTGTTCTTTTTTAATCAGAAGATAAATTCCAGGTTTAAGGTGAGTTTCGATTATCTCTGTATTGTTGTCACTTGTTTGAGGTTTTACGAGAAGATTATAACTAAATAAGTAAGAACAAATTATTAAATGAGTAATACATTAATGTTCATTCAAAGCTAGAAAAAGGATAGGGAAAGCACTACTAACATTTCTTCATTTATTACATTCTTTTGGAATAAATATCTTGCAATAACTTCGTATCTTCCATAAATTCCTATAAACCCAAGTGATTTTGTGTTCAAAGAAGCGTAATCAACCTTGGAGATTGATTCATAACTACCCGGAACTATATCATTACAAAGTTTCTTCAAGAATTCTTGCGAAATAACAATCTTTTTAACATCTAAATAAATAAAGAATTATTAAACGTATTCTAATAACAATTAGCGCGTATTGAAACCTCACCATATTCAGTCGACGCCGTATCTGCACAAAAATCAAGCAGACGATAAAAATTGGGAATTTTATTACAAAGGTCCACAGGATTATTTGTGCCTTCAACGAAATCAGAACTCTCTACCCCATTAAAATGATCTTTGGAGTTTTCGGTACAATTAATTGGATCGAACTTAGGGATTAAGTCATTCCCGCAGTCATTTGCTAGGTTGCTGTAAACATTATCAGAATACTCTACTACTACAGAATTCTCCGAAGAAATCTTGTCTTTGTTGTGAATCAATGTTTATGTCATTTTGGTCAGTAGATACGGGAGTTAATATTTATACATTATAATAAATAACTGGGGGGTTTCACTCAAAAGTATGATTTCTCGTCCTAAATAAGTGCATTTACCAGGACTTTGGTCGCCTATAGGGCTCGGGAGACCTGTTGGATCTGTTAAAGTTTAAAATAAAAGCGTTATCAAAATATCTGCTTAGGTGCACGATCAATTCATGGCCAGAGTAAATTCATAAAATAATTTATAAAACCACAGTAGAATATCTCATTCACAAGACACGGTACTAATTAGAACTAGTCTATATCTTCTCGAAATTATTTTTTGGTTCTATCTTTCCGTGTTATTTTCTTCTACCACTACTCATGCTCGTAATAAAGTAACATACCTGTATTTGAATAAGCTTTTTCTTCCATATCTTATTGTCGTTCAAAATTATGATGGAAAGAAAATTTTGAACCATTCGGTATCTCATTTATATATGTTCGTGGAAAATAAATACAGTGTCGTGTCGTGCATCTAAATTTGGAATCAATGAAGTTGAATTTTTTTGCCAGCACAGATATCATATAACATAAAAAGCAGGTTATGTACTAATTTTAGAATAATAAAACTATAATTTTTAATCGACGCCAATGTTACTACAGTACAATAAAACTGGCTTTATCCAGACTATAGAATTTTATTTTTCTTTCTAAACATGGAAAAAATGGGAATTCTTTTTCTGCAAATTGAGATTGAGATGGATAATAAAAAATTCGAAGCAGAATCAATGAGTTTACAATCAAGCTGCGTAATCACATAATATTGTACCTATAGAGTTTGCAGAAATTATGTTTTGAGGACCACTCATATAATAAAATTAAAATCAATTTCATAATGTAAACTTGTTTTAAAAATGACTAAATAACTAATAGTATCTCGAGTCAATTATGCTTTGCATCACGTAGTTTTAGATTATAATAACTAAATTTTCTTGCAGCGACTAAATGTGGAGACCTGTTTACGGGCATAGTTGTTATTGACAATCAGGTCTTCACTTCATTTAACTTTGGTAAGAAAATACGTACGCCAGAACCAAGTAACTAACTTTTTTAGAAAAATATTATTTGTTCGAATGTCATTGAGGCTTGTAAAAGAACAATAATAATGCGATTCTAGTTATTATTATAAATCAAATTAAAAATAACCCAAATCCAAAATTTTAAAAATGCAATGTCGGGTCTGGGTTGGCGACACAATCACAGCACAATTCTCAACCTCACGATCCTTTCGAGTAGGGATGAATTTGGTGAGTTATGTGATTTAAGAAACATCTGATGATTTTAGTTATTTCTCTCTTTCTCTTTTACATAATATCATTAAATACATTCTTTACGTTTTACACACCGATAAAAAAAATAACAGAAATAATCAAAGTAAATAAAAAGATAATAAAAACAACAAGGTTGAGGATAAATTGTCTTTTTTAGTAATTTCCTAATTACACTATTGTTGAGACATCATTTAGAGTCACTAGTGTCAACCACTTATCACTGTAACACCTGTATATAGAAATTTAAAATCAATTAAAAACCAAAATTTGAAGAAAAGTTTAATAATCAAGTGTTAAGTGAGGTATTTCTCATGATCTTTATCAATTAAGTAAGTCAGTCACAAGCAAAACATGATTTCTTGTAACCACAAATAGGGTAATCAATACTTAAAGTGAAGAAGGTGTGTTTTGATTTGGTCAGGTATTTTGTTTTTGTAACTTGTATTGCTATCCCTTTATTAACTCGTGTTTCTTTTTTTTTATATTCTTTTATTTATGGAGATTAATGCAGATACACTCTAAGAACAATAGATAAGCTGAGTCTAAATTATATAAGTTCTTTTCACAACCTCTTTTTTTTTCATATTAGATAATCATGTATTATCAACCAAGAGCAGATTTTTCTTGCATACTGTTTATAGCAATCAATTATATAATATTGTTAGCATAATAATTACATGGGTGGGAAAGAGGCCTGACAGAATGGGAGATAAGAGTATGGGGTTGGGTACCAGGTCTGGCGCAGCGCAGGATCAGATGCATCAGATTATGCATCAGTGGAGGACTAAAAGTATGTGAAAGCTTGTTGTAAAACTTGCAGGACATGACGATTGATTTGAGGATACGTCGCAAGCAATATAAATAATTGTATAGTAAAATCAAAATGTAATAATTGACAATTGCTAAATAAAGAAGTCACCTGCTTAATTAAAATACTTAAACTTGTAAATTCG